AATACCCCTATAGTTCATGCAATTTTGTACGTCGCCCTTATTCTTGTAGATAGGCACCAAAGTGCTCTTTCGCCACTCAGTTGGCATCTTCTTCGTTTTCAAAATCCTATTGAAAAGGTCAGTGAGCCATGCTATACCTGTCTCTCCCAAGACTTTCCACACTTCGATCGGTATATCGCCTGGGCCCACTGCTTTTCTATGCTTCATCTTCTTCAAAGCTACAACCACTTCTTCCTTCCTGATTCGACGATAAAATGAGTAGTTTCTACACTCTTCTGAGTTACTCAACTCCCCTAAAGAAGTACTCCTTTCATGTCTTTCATTGAAAAGATTATGAAAATAACCTTTCCATCTGTCTTTGACCGCATTCTCTGTAGCAAGAACCTTTCCATCCTCATCCTTGATGCACCTCACTTGGTTTAGGTCCCTTGTCTTCTTTTCCCTTGCTCTAGCTAGTTTATAGATATCCAACTCTCCTTCTTTGGTATCTAGTCGCTTATACATGTCTTCATAAGCCGCTAACTTTGTTTCTCTCACAGCTTTCTTCGCCTCTTGCTTCGCTCTTCTATACCTTTCACCATTTTCATCGGTCATGTCCTTGTATAAGGCTTTACAACATTCCTTCTTAGCCTTCACCTTTGTTTGTACCTCCTCATTCCACCACCAAGATTCCTTTTGGTGTGGGGCAAAGCCCTTGGACTCTCCTAATACCTCTTTTGCTACTTTTCGGATACAACTAGCCATGGAATCCCACATTTGGCTAGCTTCCCCCTCTCTATCCCACCCACACTGGGTGATTACTTTCTCTTTGAGAATGACTTGTTTTTCTCATTTTAGATTCCACCATCTAGTCCTTGGGCACTTCCAAGTCTTGTTCTTTTTTCTCACTCTTTTGATATGTACATTCATCACCAACAAGCGATGTTGATTAGCCAAGCTCTCTCCCGGTATAATTTTGCAATCCTTACAAGTTATACGATCCCCTTTCCTCATTAGAAGAAAATCTATTTGTGTTTTTGACGACCCACTCTTGTAGGTGATCACATGTTCTTCTCTCTTCTTAAAGAAGGTGTTGGCTAAGAAGAGATCATATGCCATTGCAAAATCCAAGATAGCTTCCCCATCCTCGTTTCTCTCCCCAAAACCATGGCCACCATGAAAACCTCTATAGTTGCCTGTCTCCCTGCCCACGTGTCCATTTAAATCTCCTCCTATAAATAACTTCTCCGTCTGGGCAATTCCTTGCACCAAGTCTCCAAGGTCTTTCCAAAATTTCTCATTCGAACTCGTATCCAACCCTACTTGAGGTGCGTACGCACTAATGACACTGATGAGTTCTTGTCCTATTACAATCTTGATTGCCATGATTCTATCTCCTACCCTCTTGACATCTACAACATCTTGTGTTAAGGTCTTGTCCACGATGATGCCAACACCGTTTCTCATTCTACTTGTGCCCGAATACCAAAGTTTAAACCCTGAGTTTTCTAGATCCTTTGCCTTAAGATCAACCCACTTAGTTTCTTGTAGGCACATAATATTTATCCTTCTCCTCACCATAACTTCCACTACTTCCATAGATTTTCCCGTTAAGGTTCCTATATTCCACGTTCCTAAACGCATTCTACTCTCTTGAACTCTACCCTTCTGTCCTAGCTTCTTCACCCTCCCCCGTCCAATAGGATCAAAATACTTCTTTTGTGTGTCATGTGTAAAGTTGATAGGAGCATATGCTCCCAAACAACTTTGAGTGGAGTCGTTCGAAAAGAAGTTTCTATGGCCCCCTTGCTCATTTAACACTGCATCCGGGTGCCGATGGAGATACAGCGACCCTTACTCACTTATCACTGAGCTCGGGCCACACAGCGCGCCACTTACGGGTGACGCCCTAGCTTTAGCGCGATTTCGTTCTGGATTCATTTTCATAAGGATTCGACGTAACTGTGGAGTGTCGGCTGTCGACTACCTGACGCCCTCCCCCTCCTCCTTTACCCGGGCTTGGGACCGGCAATGTAAGATAAACTTACACAGGCGGAGTTCTTCCCTTGAAAGAGTAAAAGAGCAAAAACGTTGGCCTCCACCAATTCTACTCTACGGCCGTCGCATGTTGATGAAATTGGAACAGGCGGGCCATCAACATGGGGTGATGATTAGATTAATGGTTGTGGATGCAGATGCTTGGAGCCCATGAAATTTTGTGTTGAGCTGGTGTCTAGATTGTACCTCTTCCCGACCTCAGAGTTTTCGTTTTTGAGATGCAGATGTACTGGCTATGTGTAAAATCTAGGTTTAGGAAACTTGCATCCAGGCAACAAAGAGTATAATGTGTAGGATAACTTTTCACATTTACCCTTGTGTTCTATAACTTTTCACCATTTACCCTATAAAAGTTTAACCTTTTTCTTGCATTCCTTTCTGTCAAGTTATGATTTTTACCATTCTAGAGACAATCCTTGAGCATTGATCAGTAGAGATCAAGGAGGGTTTTGAACTACTTGCTTTATAATTAGAATTTTCTTTCATACTGGTTACATGGGAACTCACGCTATAAAGCAAACCTAGCTAACCTCACACGTTAAAAGTCGGTTAGAGTAGTATGTTCCCTCTAACCTTGATCAAGAACCACCTTAAAAAAATGACCTAGTGAAGCACTCTGCATGCGAGGCTACATGCATGCATATATAAAACTGCTAAGCGGAATGAAAGTACCACCAGTCACCAACCAGAGTCCCAGTTTCGGCGCGCATCATAGGGGGCATTGAAGGTGACTTTAAAAAAATCTAGGCGTCGGTCGGACCCAATGAACACGCTCCACCAACGTCCGAGCTCTTTTCCGATGTTTGTTAGCCAGTGCCAGCTCTAAGAATTTGGGATGCTAGGCGAGCATTTGAAGTGGGGTCATATAGTTCTCAGAATCCCGATCTTTTGTACATATATGTATAAAGAAATTTCGCTAAATACATATAAAAAAATGGTCTATGCCTACTTCAAATACACCTACATAAAGGCAAGTAACAAACACAATAAAAATACCAAACTATCCATACCATAGAAAAAAAGTCCCAATAACTCAAAAATAAAAAACTATAAAAAAAAGATAAAATTTTCTCTTCGATTACCTTATGAATTTGCAGTCAAGAGTCTAAATTGAGAATTGAGGGTGTGTTTGTTTCCCTTCGTTAAGTCTCACTAGACTAGACTGGACTAAAAGTCAGTCTAGTATTGTGTTTGTTACAGGGAGGGATTACCTTTAATGGTATTAAGTGGGACTCGTCCCGACTAACACCTTCGTTAGAAGGTCTTAGCGAGACCCCCCAAATACGAGAGGACTGCTAAGCCCCTTCTCGCTTCGCTCGCTTCACTTCGTCTGCTTCGTTTCGTCTTCTTCATATGCTTCGTTTGTTTCTGTCTTCTCTTTGCACCGACATCCCCACCCACCCCACTCCTTTTCTTCGACAGCTGTTCAATTCACCTCTAGTCTGCTTCTCTCCTCTTTGCACCGACATCCACCCTACTCTTCTTCGTCGTCACGCAAATTGCAGATTCGTCTTGAAGCGAGAGAGGAGAGATTCGTCTTGCAAATTGGGATTCGTCTTGCAGCAAGAGAGGGGAGATTCGTATTGTAGTCTTTGGGGATTCTTTCTGATTCATCTTTGGGGATTCCTTTTTTTCTTTTTTCTTTTTTTTAAACAAATGCTTTGTCTGTTTGATTGCTGGTGTTCTGCTATTTGATTACTGGTGTTCTGCCATTGATCTTTGGATGTTTGATTTTTTGGTGTCTATATTTCTTATTTTACTTTTTGGTAGATCTTTGGAATCGTCTGAGTTGGTATTTAAACTTGATTATATTTGATAAAGTTTATACATGGTTTATTACATATTTTCTTGATTAATTTTGAAATGTTAATTGAGGGTTATCTGAAATAAGTGTGATCTGGGTTTTATGAAATAAGTATGATCAAAATATAGTATCTAAATTTAATAGTTATCTTGCTTCTTAGTCCGACACTGCATCAAACGCTTCATTAAATCAGTCCAGCTTAGTCTAGTCTAAGCCAGTCCAGCTTAGTCCCTGAAGTTAGTCCAGTCCGAAATAGTCCGGTGCAACAAACGCACCTTAAGAGTTTTGTCTATTTGAGAAGGGAACCGATTAGAATAAACAAGGGTCTTTAGGATTAGGTGTTTGTTTGGGGAATGTGGCAATGGCCAAAGGGCTTAACCGTTTACGGTTTGGTGTAGGAAGTACGGCAAAAGAAGTAAACAAGTTTATTTTTCAAGTTCATTAATTATATAGAGCAATTAAATCATCGAAATATTATGCTCAGCTACTCAACCCAATGTTCTATTGTATTTATACAAAGACTCAAAGTTTGCAGACTTTCTATTTGAGTTGACACAAGGTTTGTAATACATACATATATATATATATATATATATATATATATAATAATAATAATAATAAAATAAAATATTGGGGCCCTCTGGAGTGGGGGCCTAAGGCGGCTGCCTATTTAGGCTACCCTTAGGGCCATCTTGCTTATAGAGGAGGTCTTAACATTTATTTTATTTTATTTTTACAGATCCCCTACCAAGAAGGATTGCTAGTTGTCGGACTTGAATCTAGACTTTGGTTTAGCAAAGAGAACGATTCTTACCAGCTCAACTAACCCTCGTTGGCTTACCTTTTAGTTTTATTCTGTGTTAAGAGTTAGAGGAAAAAGAAGAGTTGAGAAAGGGAGAGGTGGTGGGAGGGTTTAAAATAATTGATTATCAAGTAGGTGCAATTCTAAATCATAATTTATTGTAAAACTGTTAGTTTATTGCTTTCTTCTTTACTCGATTTCTCCACAATTATTCTAACTAAGCTTTAAGTTTTATGAATCAGACGTGCGCCCATTTCTTTTTACTTTTATACTGAATTGTAAAATCAAAATATTTCTTTTAATACAAAACCAAAATAATTTTTTTAATACAAAACCAAAATATCAATCCACCACAAATAATAAACATATAGTCGACAATAAATTATTTATGGCAAACAATGTAATACGGGTTAATGGCACACCCTTTGAACACATTATTGGTAATTATTCAACAAACAATGAAATACTGGTCATCGACTCTTTGGTTATGCGACTATCTTGACGGCTTGGGAGCAAGACCGGCCTTGAGCTTCTGAATGGTGCCAACATCAGTCTTGAAGGAGATAGCCAACACATTGTCGTCGATGCCGGTGGTGAACAAGGTGGAGGGGATTGATACAGTTCCTGCATTTGCACTTCCAAATGCAGAAATTGCTATGGCTGGGTTTTCTGCATCAGCGTTGTACTGGAAGTGTGCAAGTCCCTTGGGAAACACAAACAGATCACCTGTCTGAAGCGTCTGCGTAAAGAGGTTGTTTTTGGTGTCAACGAAACCGACTTCAAGGGTACCGCCAATGAGGAAAAATAGCTCAGCAGAGCGAGGATGAGTGTGTGGTGGGTTGGTAGTGCCATTTGGGAACTGAAGGACGGCATACGAAACACTCTGCCCATTAAGAGCAGGGAATTCAGCCAAGGATGCCTTCATAACCTTGAAGGCTGTGGGAGGATCGGCTCCAACAAGGGCACGAAAGCCAGTGTATGTAAAGAAGTTTCCATCTAATGTTCCATTTTCATTTGGAGGCACTATGAAGTCAGTAATAATGTCCGGGTCTCCGGCCATTGCCATTTGAACAATGGCAAATGAAAAAATTAATAGTAAGAGGAATCTGAGGCTGGAAGTTCTGGAGGCCATTGTTGAAACCTGATTAACTAAATATGAGTTGGATGAGATATTTGTGCTTCTAGGGACTATATATAGGGTGCTGGTTGTGTCGATTCTAAAGACAAGGCAACGGCATTCGAATATATTAATATGTTGCTGCAGGCCTTCTTGTAGTTCCAGGTTACAATATTAGTTTATCTCGTGCCAACTTAGACGAATAATACGATGTTTCCTTGTAGTTACAGTAGGAAACGATGAAAGTTAGAGCTTTAGCTTCTCTTGATCAGCACTAGATATATAGACGGAGTAGAACAGAAGGAAATGCTCGTGAGCATTTGGCTTTGTTCACAAACCTTCCTTGTTGACTAATAATATTACAACATAATAGGGTATATGTTCATTCAGTTCTTCTGAGTCTTGACACCCACAAGACGTTAATTCCAGCTTTACTTTTGCTTTATAAAAAAAAGCATAGAGAGAACAGCTTTTGTACTGAAAGAGTTGCCAAACTTTCTTATTGTCTAATTGCTGGGATTTTCTTTGGTGCTCCAGTGTGCCGGATACTCTGGATGTTTTAACGGTTAGATCTTGATTTTTGATGCGAAGCCTTGAAGCTTATGTTAGAAGAGAAAAGGGCCCGAGGCTAGGGCAAGCTGATGGGGAATAGCGTAAGTGAGCGAATGTGTGTAAGTTCGGTCAAACATGACTGTTTTAGTCAGTGCGGGCCATCACCTTCGAATGGTGTTGGTCCTATATGAAGAATGAGGATCCTTTTCGGATCCTCTTTGTGAGGATTCCGGAGATCCTGTAATTAAATCGGTTTATCGTACATCTTACGGTCAATTTTTGTGAGGTATTATTTATATTTAACTTTAAATAAAAAGATTTACAATGATTTCTTATCATTCCTATATGAATCGTGACGGCTAAAACACCCGGAGTGCGGACAGCACCCAAGAAGTTTTGCTAATTGTTTTGTTGATCGTTGTTCATAAAGATTGCATGGCAGACTGCTAAAGAAAAGATAACTGAAAATTGCAGGCCAAGAGAAACAGAAAAACAACATGGTGGAATCAATGCAAACTAGATGAAATTAAAATTGAGTAAAACATTATTCGCTGCCCGGAATAATTTTGTTGACTGTCTAACAAGTGTATAAAACCAACTTCAATTAGGATGATTCATTTCGTTAACTCATAATGTAAAGGTGTAGATCCCACAAGTGAATTATTGGTAATTTTATAACATTCACTTAATAACTTACATCTATACTCTGCAAGAAGTTCATGGTGTAACAATTAACGTTGGTAGAATTAAAGGCTATCTTAGAATTTCACTTAAAAAAAAAAACATAGTAGCATTGATTCTAGGGTATAGCTCATGAGTTTTCGGCTTCGCTCAAAACCCGAGCCCTAAACCGGAAGCCATAAGCACCGCCAACCCCACCACCCTCCTCCCCCCCCCCGGGCGATCCCAGTACACTAAAAACCATGTAAACCCAAAACCCAAACTGGTGTATAAAGGGGCTATTTTAAGGAATTGGATCCGTTCTGGACTTTAGTGTAAGAAGCCTAGGGATCAATTCATCAGGGCCGCACAAATTCAATCCAACGGTCCCCATTATAACTCATTTTCATGGCCCACCACATAAAACCAACAGTTCTGATTTCTTTTACACACGAATTATAGGCCCAGATGATTTGATCCCTAGGCTCCAGACACTAAGGTCCGCAGTGGATCCAATTCCCTATGTTAAGTCCTCCCGGGGAAGTTGAATAACTTTAATATACATATACTTTCATTTGTACACCACATGGATGAATATATAACTTTCTCTCATATTTATATGATAGGACGGAGATTTGCAAATAAGATAGAGAAGGGTGTTTTAGGATATGGTTGGTGGCAATTAACCTTATCCAGTTTGTGTTCTTGTCATGTTTTGTAAATCTTTTCCAAAGACAACAAATAGTGAATTAAGTATGACAAACAATGTGTCATTACAACAATCATGTTGAACTTAAAAAACTATCAAGCGTACGTGGTGCGCATGCCTAGTAAGTAATGAGCTAACTACATCCTTATGGTGAATGTGGGCATGCCAACTAGCGATCGAGCTTAGTCAGCAAGTAGAATGGATGTGGTGATGGTGTCGAATGCACTTTTGACTTTTGTACTTTAGCGGTTATAGACAAGGAAGGAATATGTCTCGACCTTGGGTCTTAGAACCCAAAGACAAGGTTGCTAGTCATTGCAAAGTTCAAGTTCTTTTGCACCAGGTTCGGCCACCTCAACTATTTTTGTGAAACTATTGGTGCATCTAATCGGTATCAGACTGTAAGGATACAAATACTCAAAAGAGATAAGTGCCTTGATGGTAAATGTTATTCATTCGTTAGAATGTCGAACTCTAGAGTGTACATGGGAATAACCAATCATAGAACACTTCACTTGGTTGGAATCTAGTGAAGTGACCTCGTTCGGCGAAAGAATCAAAGACTCCCCTTCATCTAACACTTGGATATATAATTAGCCAAACTTGAAGTAGTGCTGTTAATTCAAACTGAAGATACTTTCATGATCGCCTAATCCTACGACTCCCATGTTTGTTAATCCGAACTGAAAATGTCACAGGTTGTCAACACAATGCTATTACTCAAAATTGAAGATGAGTTGACGGAGTTAAGGCAGTTAGTAATTTCTCAAGGTGTGAGAAGAGTTCGCGTAGAGCGAGGTTTTGTGTAGAGCGTTTATGTGTTGAGTTGAAAGTCCTTGATATTTGATTGTGTCAAAGACATTCCATCAGAGGGTATCCACAACATAATTCTGGTTAAGCTACTTAACCATAGAGGAAGGTGAATGCCCAACAAGAGATGTCTAACCTTCAAATTGTTAGGGGAGAATTGTCTACGATATGATTAATAACCTCTGGCCAGAGCAAGAATGAGATTAAGGAAGTCGTTCCAAATCACATTCTAGGTAATCATACAAGTAAGAGAATCACATTGGATAGTAGACATGAATAAACTATCATATCAAACAAGGTGATCAAGAGTATTGAATTAGAGAAAATATCGTATTGCATTTGTAATCCCAAACTGAATAGGTTCTCTGTTGGGGGACTTTTAGGTTAAGGTGGACTTGGGCTTTGAGAACGTCCTATTGTCTTCATTGGTTCAGATTTGTACCAAGTCCCGGAATATCTCAAAAAAAAAAAAAAAAATAGCACGTCTTAAGAAATATCCTAGCTGGACCAATGACTTGAAGATAGCATGATTTAGGCAAATGATGACTTGATTAAGAGAAATGTGGTGCGGAAGCTAAAAGCTCATTAGTTTTGCATGAAAGACAAAGAGCTTGGGTGATTGTATGGTGTTTTCTACTGGATAATGGGTTTCTTAGGGTGGCAGCAAGGTTTACTATGGCTGGAATACTTAGAGGAAGGACATGGAAAATACTAAGGTTGCAAGGTGATGTTTCTAAGTTTTCTTTGGTTCTCGGTGTGAAGCGGGGGGATTGGGGGATCCACTCTCTAAGGTTCTTGACCTATATTTGCAGTTGAATTATTCATTCCCAAGGAATCTCTAGTTAGGGCTTGTTTCTTCCTCCCTTTATCCTTATTTCTCCTGCTACCTTTTATTTTGGTGTAAGGAAGCTAGACTCTAGAACCTACAATGTGTTTTCTTTCTGAGTCATGGCTTTCCTGCTTCAACTTTCCACATACGCTACTTTTGGTAGTGCGCCTCATAGCTTTTGCGCGTTAAATTTTTGCGTAAGTTGGGAAGGGAAAGTCAGCATTAAGTGCTTGTTCTGATGGACTTTCGTGTGAATTTAGAGTTGGAATCTGGTTCAGTCCTAACTGAGCTAGTTAGCTTGCTAGGGAAAGAGGTAAATTTTGGTTGGTTCTTTCTCAATACCTGCATACGTGGACTTCAAAGGTTATGGGCTTGGATCTTTAGGCGCTCAAGCAGCCCAAAGTCTTCCATAATCTTGATTCCACATAGGCCTGATGAATTTCTGTAACCATCCACACCACAATTCACTTGACAAGCCCCGAGTATGTGACTTGGGCTTATTTTAGCATGACAAATACACATGGCGTAGTTTATAAATATCCAGTCTAATTACTGCAGCATGACCTGTTTGTAAATATATTTCTTCCTCGATCTCGCACCTTTACATGTATTTGGGCTTGAATAGAGGCTTGCATGACAATTGGTCTTTGAGGTTTTTTTTAGTCTTGCATGTGACATTTTTGGGCCTCAACATTAGCCCCCTTGATTATTTGGGCTTTGAAGGACCTTGAGTGGGCTAAATAATTAAACTTAGGCCTAAGGGATTTTTAAACTTGGCTTTCCTGATGAGACTTTTTTCTTTCTTGCGTGGCTGCTAGTGTCATCATGATGATGCGCACCCTTGATTTTCTTCTTGCTTTGCATTGTGTGATTGCCTCATAGCTCGGCTTGATTTCTTGTTGGTGAATGTTCAAGTAGGATTAATTTTGGTGCATTGTTTGGCTTGGCATGATTGCTTGACTGCGTGTAGCCTGCTTTTGCACGAACAGTCATATAACATGCTTTCCCTAGCTAGAATTCATTTCTCTTATGTTTTTATGGCTTGTTAGCATGATATGTGTAGGGGAAGATATATGTGTTTTGCGCGATAGCATGTAGGGAAGCTAGTCCCATGTTAAAGTCTTAGGCTTTTGTGTGATGGCATGTAGGGAAGTTAGTCCCATTTTAAAGCCTTAGGTTTGCATGATGGCATGTAGGGAAATTTGTCCCATGTTAAATCCGTAGGCTTTTTCATGATGGCATGTGCGTGATGGCATGTAAGGAAGTTAATCCCATGTTAAAGCCTTATACTTTTGCGTGATGGCATGTAGGGAAGCTAGTCCCATATTAAAGCCGTAGGCTTTTGCTTAAGGTGCTTGAATTTTTAGAGGCTTTTCTTTACCTGGGCAGTTTGCTTGTTTTTTTAGGGTAGATGATGAGTCCATATTTTATTATATATTGTACCATATTCTTAGTATTAATTTATTGGTTATTTTGGTAGAAATTTGATATTTTGTTATATATTTTCAATGTAGGACATTCGAATTCCTCTGGAGCAAAAAATAATCAAACGGATGAATTTTGGAGTGATTCCAATTGGAGGATGTTCGTGAATCTTTCAAGATGATTGTACCAAAATTCCAGATTTTTATACCA